AGGAAAATTTGCTGAGGTCACCAGAGCACCACCTCCAGAAAATCTCTGCTCTTCAAGAATTTAGTTGAGATCTAAAGTTTATTTTGTGTACAACTCCTCTTTTTTTAGGTTTTACTTGCTTCCAACACAAAGTCAGGTTTTCCTGCTTCATGCTTGACGGAAGGCAGGAGCTCCTGTATGAAGTTTGAGCTTTATACAGGAAGACGTGCTTATTTGTATTTTCCCTGCTTCTAAGTTGTGGAGAGCAGTCTTCACTTCGAGACCATCCTAGGTAAGTAACTGAACTGGAGTTTTGTCTTGGCTAAAGTTAAGATTAACAACCAGCTGGTCTTAATTTCTCTTCATTAGAGTGTTCAGTGATCATATTGTTGGTTTTTATGGTGTTGTTTGTTCTGGTCTGAAGTTGTTGTTTAAGAATCTGATTCTAGTTTGGAGATGCATTCAAAGGATCTTCTCTACTGCTCTTTCTCTCAAAATTTAATCTTAGTCGGTTTGTCTGTATGCATTGCGTAAGGAACTGGACTGTTTTTCCATACATTGAGAACTGAATTTTCTCAGCAAAGGAAAGGGCATTTACTCCTCCCAACTGAAGGTGCCCTGGGTGACGGGGGGCCTCGTGGGAGTGTCTGGAGGTTAACCCGCCATGACATTACAGCAGCCTGCGAAATCTCCAACAAAAATTAATTTAAAAATGGATCATCAGGAAACGCATATAAGGGCTGAGATCACCTACCGTTTGAGCCTTCTCTGGGGTCACAGACCTCTAGAGATAAACTAGCTTATGTAAGAAAGGAGGAAACGTGCAGTAGTGGCACACTGTGGAGTCGATTGCACAAGCAACACACATAAATCCACCACACAAAAACCTAGACCACAGCTCAGTTCACTCTTTTAAGAAAAAAAAAAAAAAAAAAAGCAGGAAACAAATAATCTAAGAATGAGGAGAAAACAGGAGAATGACCCCCTTTTGAGCACTCCATAGGTTTTATGGCACCTCTACTTGCCAAAGTTTATGTAAATGAGAATAATATGGTCTTCATGCACATTTACATCAGGGAAAAAGAGCCTAAAGTCGACCTGCAAACTATAGAGTTTCTAATCCTCTTTTTCTCTATTTTTTTCTTTCTGGCTGCTCCTAAATCTGCTGTTATTTTTTCTATTATGACAAAACCTGTTAAGATCCAACAGTTCTTTTGCAAGCCAGTGAATTTGTATTTATCACGGCTGAGGTTCCTGAAGTAAAAGCTATAGGATCGTTGTGTGTGTGTGTGTATTTAAAAGGCCTTTATAATTTCTGTAATTTTATGTTTAATTGGCAATTAAATGTGTTTTAATTTCCCTCTAGCACACCAAACTTTTTCTATCCATACCTTATAATGTAAATTTTGCTATTTGACTTTCACCTGAGTTGCTTCCTTTAACAGGCAATTTCAAGGCTATTTAGTTGACAACTGCCTGGGGTTGTGAAACACACCGCCGGGAGCGGGGCCCCACGCGAAGGGGATCACCGCCGGGAGCCGGGCCCCACGCGAAGGGGATCACCGCCGGGAGCCGGGCCCCACGCGAAGGGGGTCACAGCCGGGAGCCGGGCCCCACGCGAAGGGGGTCACAGCCGGGAGCCGGGCCCCACGCGAAGAGGATCAGAGCCGGGAGCCGGGCCCCACGCGAAGGGGATCAGAGCCGGGAGCCGGGCCCCACGCGAAGGGGATCACAGCCGGGAACGGGCTGTGCGAGGATCAGAGCCGGGAGCCGGGCCCCATAGCGAAGGGATCTGGCCGGGAGCCGGGCGCCACGCGAAAGGGTTCCAGGTGGCCTGGTCAGTGTAGCTGGCAGCCCCAACCCATACTGAACCCAGGAAAGCTTCTCAGAAGTGGCACAGAAGTCACAAAACCACACATAATAAGATTGAGTCTGAATTCAAGGGAACCTTCATTGATCAGAAAAAAATTTTGTTACTTTGCTAAAGGCTATTGCTGAAGATCAAGAAATCACTCCTCCTGTGTGGTTCTGCCTCAGGATTTCGGCCTCACGAACATCAGTCATTTCTGGCAGAATGCGGACAGGCTATACCTCACTTTCTTTTTTTATTGAGGCGAGTCTAACTCTTGTAACCCAGGCTGGAGTGCAGTGGCGCCATCTCAGCTCACTGCAAGCTCCGCCTCCCGGGTTCATGCCATTCTCCTGCCTCAGCCTCTGAGTAGCTGGGACTACAGGCGCCCACCACCACGCCCGGCTAGTTTTTGTATTTTTAGTAGAGACGGGGTTTCACCGGGTTAGCCAGGATGGTCTGGATCCTCCTGATGCCGTGATCCGCCCGCTTCAGCCTCCCAAAGTGCTGGGATTACAGGCGTGAGCCACTGTGCCCAGCCATCTACCTCACTTTCAAATACAGAGGCAGAGATGAACTGAGAGCTGAGGTGTAGCAATACGTATCACAGCCGGGAGCCGGGCGCCACGCGAAGGGGTTCCAGGTGGCCTGGTCAGTGTAGCTGGCAGCCCCCAACCCATACTGAACCCAGGAAAGCTTCTCAAGTGGCACAGAAGTCACAAAACCACACATAATAAGGATGAGTCTGAATTCAAGGGAACTAGTCAATTAAGGAAAAAATTTTGTTACTTTGCTAAAGGCTATTGCTGAAGATCAAGAAATCACTCCTCTCCTGTGGTTCTGCCTCAGGATTTCGGCCTCACGAACATCAGTCATTTCTGGCAGAATGCGGACAGGCTATACCTCACTTTCTTTTTTTTATTGAGACGGAGTCTCGCTATGTGGCCCAGGCTGGAGTGAGTGGCGCCATCTCAGCTCACTGCAAGCTCCGCCTCCCGGGTTCATGCCATTCTCCTGCCTCAGCCTCCTGAGTAGCTGGGACTACAGGCCCCGCCACCACCACGCCCGGCTAGTTTTTTGTATTTTTAGTAGAGACGGGGTTTCACCGGGTTAGCCAGGATGGTCTGGATCTCCTGACCTTGTGATCCGCCCGCTTCAGCCTCCCAAAGTGCTGGGATTACAGGCGTGAGCCACTGTGCCCAGCCATCTACCTCACTTTCAAATACAGAGGCAGAGGTGATGGAACACAAAAGGAACTGGAATTATTTTCTTCTGAATTTCACTCTAGTCTTTGTGCAGCGAAGTGATTAACATATCACTGTTTTCACACACAAGACAGTCACTTGTGAGCGGGGACTGAGCCGCGTGCTACTCCAAAATAAACCTCCAAACATTTTCATTTTGAAGTTTTCTGTTTTAGTTCATAGGCTAACCTTCACCTGTCATTTCAATGGGCTGTAAAGTTTAATCCTCAAGAAATTTCTAAACTTCTCAACTATTATGTCTTTAGGAATTAAAATTTACAAAAAATTAGCTGGGTGTGGTGGTGTGCGCCTGTAATCCCCGCTATGTGGGAGGCTGAGGCAGGAGAATCGCTTGAACCCCGGAGGCAGAGGTTGCAGTGAGCCAAGATTGTACAATTGCACTCCATCCAGCCTGGGTAACAAGAGCAAAACTCTGTCTCAAAAAGAAAAAGGTGAAATCTGAAGCTCGGTGCAGAAGAATTAGTAACAATTGAGAAAAATAAGATGGGGAACTATTAGAAAAATAAGTAAATTAGGAAATTCCATTTTCTTTTTTGAAGGATGACAGGTGAATATGCGTCCTCCAGATTGTTCACCCAAATTGAGAGTGAGTACGGACCATGTGCTGCTGAAATTCAACAGTCAGGGTGAACCCGAGTTTCAGACAGCCGGTGGGACTTATTCCCAAAATCAAGGACCTCACTCTCCAAACCCCTTCAAGACAGTGCATTTCGTATTTTTAGTAGAGATGGGGTTTCACCATGGCCAGGCTGGTCTTGAACTCCTGACCTCAGGTAATCCATCCACCTCGCCCTCCCAGAGTGTTGAGATTACAGGCATGAGCCACCGCACCTAACCAGATTTCACCTATTTTAAGCAAATTCTAGTTCCTAAAATTTGACTGCATGCAGGCATGGGAGCATGGCTTTGCTAAGTCCACTCTAGGCAACCGTCTGGATGAGCAAGAAGAGCAATTCCACAGCCCCCTAAGGAGACGGCACTGGGGAGCTGAGATTCGGCGTGAGACAGGGCTCTCATTTCAAAGTACTTACCCGATGCCTGCCTTAGGATTCCTGAGGGAAACATATACGACAAACTTCCAATATCTTCTCCATCTAGAACAGCTATCCAACACGATTCCAGCTGCCTTTAAGATTATAAATTCACTGGAATCAAATCAACCTGTACAGCAATGGATCAGTGATCCAGTATTAATGATTTATTTTTTATTTTTTTAAGATGGAGTCTCGCTCTGTAGCCCAGGCTGGAGTTGCAGTGGCGTGATTTCGGCTCACTGCAACCTCCACCTCCCGGGTCCCAGTTCAAGCAATTCTCCTGCCTCAGCCTCCTGAGTAGCTGGGATTACAGGAACACACCACCATGCCCAACTAATTTTTGTATTTTTAGTAGAGACGGGCTTTCACTATGTTGGCCAGGCTGGTCTTGAATTCCTGACCTCATGACGTGCCCGCCTCGGCCTCCCAGAGTGCTGGGATTACAGGCGTGAGCCACTGCGCCCAGCCATGAATTTTAAAAACCTTATAGAATTCATGACAAAGCTTAAAAATGTTCAGAAATTCACCCATTCAATAAATTTTCTATACAAAATGCAGAAAATGCAATATAATTTAAAAACGAACACAAATCATTTATCTCTATTATACATGATGAAACATACTCGATCAAAGCATATGCTGCTTTGAGTAATCTGATCATTTCCAATAATGGCTTTTTAACTAATTAGGCTTAAAAGTATCCATGTATTAATATGATGCTTTTTGGTGCACAGGACTGGCATCTACTCCAACAAAATTCTACTTATGTGCAAGAGCTATGAATAATATTCAAAATAATTAATTTCTAGAGAAAATATTATGAAGGCAGGCAGGACTTATCACAACACTGAAGTCAAACATATTGTCACTTACGATTAGCTGTTTCAATCCAACAAAAGATTGTTCCACTGAGTCGGCATTTAGGACTTGTCTCTTTGCTGCAGCTTTTTCACCCAGAAAGCGAAGCATCAAGTCTTTAACTGCATCTCCCTGGGAAGAAGAGAAGAAAAATATGTCAAGACAATAAAATGTCAGTTAAACTCAGCTAACCAGAACCCATAACTAAACAAAATTTCTTTTTTCTCCAGTGGCTTATGGAGGTAAAAGTAACGGTTATAGTATCGTAAAACTTCAATTAACCAGAAGCTAAATCACCACAATTGTTAATAAAATGTATAATTTTAGAATTGCTCCTTATTCTTTTTATTTTTAAAATTATATCTTTATTCACTACTAATCGGAAAGCATGTTCTTTATTCTAAAGAGGAAACGGTAAATCCTGCCACCTACCACCAGGCTTGCAGTGAGAGGCAAAGCCAAGCCAGCAGAGGGGCCTCAGGTGAGGGGCCTAGGGAGGCCCAGGAGAATGAAGGTGACACTGCTGGGGACCAGGGGCTGCACCACACAGTGGCCAGACTTGCGCTGGTGCAGGCAGGCCTGAATAGTCTTCCCAAATCCCATCAAGGCCCCGAAAACTGAGACCCCCTTTCACAGCAGGTCCTCGATAGCCTCGCTGAGCCAAGCCCTGCTCCAGGAGCTGGTGGGCTCACTTCATGCTGCAAGCCAGGGAAGAATCCAGTTGCCTCTGCACGGGACTGTTTCTACCTCCTGACCCAACTCCTCTGATTATACTGATCTTTCGATGGTGCTGAAGAACACTGAAAGTGGAATCTGAAGCATGCCACTTACTTTAAAGGGAAGACACAGAAGGGCAAGGGGAGGGAACTGGTGCTTTTGTGTGGCCTGGGGACAGAAGAGATGTGCCAATGACCTGCACTGAGCAGGGAGCGATCTCATAGCTGGTGTCAAGCCCAGATGCTGGGCGAGCTGGCCTTCATGCGCCTCAGGAGTCAGCACGGTTTGGGGGCCCCAGGGAAGGGCGTGAAGTTACCAAGTCTGTTGCATGGGGACAAACTAGTCATCCCAACAGTGCAGAGAAAACTGTTACAGTCCGCGGGCCTCAGTGCTGTTTCGGTGGCTGCACCGCAGGCTGAGGGAGAGTCCAGGGTAAGTAAAGGCTGCTCACAGGACGCAATGCTCTCCATGGGCAGCAGGAGAAGCCTCTCACACACAGCGGGGACCAGGACACAGCCCTGGACCATCTCTCTCCCTTCTGGGGGCGCTGCTGACTGAGGAAAGGCACCTGGGAAGGGGCAGCAGCATTGAGGTCCCTGAAACACCTGAGGCAGGGGCAGCCAGGGGGATAGAGCAGTCCAGGGGGAAAGGGCAGCAGCACTGAGGTCCCTGAAATGCCAGAGACAGTGAGCAGCCTGGGAGGAGGAAGCAGTGGCTCTGAGGTCCCTGAAATGCCCGGAGACAGCAAGCAGCCGGGAACTGGCTGGACCTTCCCTGACATGTGCTCTGGGCATCTGGCCCGCAGCAGCTGCTGACAGGGACACGGCACAAAGGCCCTGCAGTCTCTCGGGTGAACAGAAGAAAGACTCAAACTAGGACAACCCCAAGATGGGGGGTGGAGAAAGCCAAGACCTCTCCATCCCAGCACAAAGCTGCCTCCCAGCCGCAGGGAAGCTGATGCTCATGCTGCAGGCAGGCCACCGGGAGCACAGTGACTGAGGGTGCACAGACGCCTGCGTGCCCCACGCCTGGACTTCACCACTGGCTCAGATCTCTTCCTATTGTTCTCCTACCCTCTTTTTGCGGGGGGAAAAGAAAAGCATAGAAGTTGTTTCTCCTAAGAAGCAAGGTTATTTCAATCTTTCGCTATCTTTCAAAATGGTGACACTTAAAGAAGAACAATATCTAGAGCATGAGAGCAAGAGAATCAGAAAAGCTGCTGACATTGCTTCTCCCCTCTGCTGCCTCCCTCTCTCCCGGGAGAGATCAACAGCCTGCGGCAGGAGGGGCCGGGAGGCTCCGCGTCATGGGCCTGTCTTTTCCCTGGTGCTAAACCTGGTGCTCACAGAGGCCGACCTCACGTTTTCTCACATTGAGGCAAAGACCTAGGGGCAGCCGTTGTATAATTTCTGCTTTCAGAGTGTAAGGTGAAGTACTTCAAATACCAGATCCACAAAATCAGCTAACTGATCTAGCAGCAATAATTACAGGGCAAAATAAAAGAGTTCAGACCCAGCGCTCCATAAAGCTCTGCAAAAACGCAACTCTTCTCAGACAAAGAGCATCTCAGCCAGAGGGCGGCGAGCTGGGTGAAGAGCAAAATCAAATCGCAATGCCAGGGACGGAGGGCCAGGGACAACTCCTCCATGCCCGCAACATTCTCAGTGAGACCATGCTGCAAAAATCTCGCCCTTAAAATTCTCTGTTAGTTAATATTTTAGTTACCACAGCAAGTTCCTGAGATATTAGCATATGCATGACTATCAAATATCTCATCAACGGAGGGCCAAGGATGTGACAAGCGTCTTAAGACAAACCTCGCCCTTGCTGTGTGGCTAACGGCACAGGGAGGTGGAGACGCTGGCACTGCATCTCCTCCAGTGGTTACTGTGCGGAGGGGAGGGAGCTTCCCGCAGGGCCTTCTAGAGAGCTGTGCTGCTGCACCTGGATGGAATCCAGCTAGAACCAATGGCAAACCATTCAGTGAGGGTCTACTTTATCCAGGGCAAGGTTCAGGGAACACGAAGGAGATATATGAACATATCACAATCTGGGACTCATCGTGATCTCACCATCCCATTCTCCTGGTCAGGTGCATTTATGGAGGAGCAAGTGGCTGTTCTCACAGCTGACAGGCGCTTAGGGGCCTGGCTGCCTTTCCTGCAATGGGGGAATAGTCTCAGTTGTCTCTTCTTGATTTTCATGGTGAAAGACAAAACAGAAGCCAGAGCAGCAGACTGAAAGCTTACGGGCCTTACTGCCTGGGAAGCCTAAAGACACAAATGCTCATGGGGTAGTGTTGCTGAAAGGCAGCTGGCCCTGCACCTGGCACAGAACTCGCTGAGTTTTCCGCCACATCGCCAGTGCAGAAAGGTGCCTGTTTATCCTCGGAGGGTCTATCCTCTGGCTCCAGTGTTTGCTTACTCCGGGGAAAAATGAGACCACCTGAACCAAAAACCACAACAATTAAAACAAAACCCAAACCCAAACTCAAGGATGTGGAGAAACTGGAACCCTCACACGACACATCATCGGTGGGGATTCAACTTGGAACAGCCATTCTAGAAACAGTCTGGCGGGGCCTCAGAATGTTGAACAGAGTTACCGTAGAACCAGTAAGTCCATCCCAAGCTATACATCCCAGATAGCTGAGAACACACAGACACAAACACATGTGTGTGAATGTTCACAGTAGCATTACTGACAATAGCCAAAAGGTAGAAGCCCAAATGTCCACCAACTGATGAACGAATAAAAAGCAGCAGTAATCTTCTTCTATCCATTTCAGGGTAACTGGGACTGGACTGTCTTGATGTGAACAACTGCAATATTGCTCAGAGGAAATCTAACAACTGTCTTCACACACAGCAAAGGACTGTGACCCGAGAGAAGGAAAACATGACTTGAACTCTTGAACCCAATGGCACTTTTTGGACCACACCGCAGGAGAATCCCAAGCAGGGTTTGGGATGTCACGGAGGTTAAGGTGGACAGGCTGAGGAGGTTGAGACTGTACTCAAATATGCTTTCCCAACATTCTTATTTTGCTAAATTACTAGCAACAATGGAGGGAAAGTGTGAGAGTATATGTGTGAGAAAGAATATACAACATTATCTCTATATAAGTTCCACCTACATAACCCTTTGTGGTTTACTCTAAAAACCCAGCTACAATTTATAACATAATTTACTAAAAAATGGTTTTGGAACCTACTTACAAACTGGATAATTCTTATATCCAGAGACCTAGAAAGGAGGGAGCTAAGCAGAGAAAGGGTTTGTGTGGGAGCCCTTGAGTTTACTGCTGATCACTCAGCTATATGTGCAGAGGGTGCAGCTCTGAAGACTGGAAAGGACGGGGCGCTGTGAGCTGGCAAGCCCAGAGCTCACACAGGGCTGAAGGGTGCTGAGTGTGGGTCTGCCACGGTGGAGTGCTGTCACTGAACAAAAGGGGCATTCACTATAGACTTCAGAAAGGTCACCCAAAAGTAGAAGCTACTACTCTAAAGTCATTCTAAAAAGCCTAAAAACAAACTTGAAACTAAACCTGTAAATAAGTTACTTGCTTGTCAGAATAAAGGACAAGTCTTTTCAAAGGAAGATGAAAAAGCCAGGCATACAACCTGAAATCCACACCTTCTAATAAAAAATTACTAGACATGTAAAACATGTCCTGTAACTAAGAAAAAAAGTACCTAAAAATAGATCCAGATATTACATAGATAATGGAACTTTCAAATAAGAACTTTTTTTTTCTTTTATTTATTTCTTTTTTTTTTTTTTTTAAAGAGGCCTATGTTGCCCAGGCTGGCCTCAAACTTCTGGGCTCCAGTGATTCTCCTGCCTCAGCCTCCTGAGTGGCTGTGACTACAGGTACACGCCACCACACCCAGCTCAGAAAAGAACTTTAAGGTGTCTCTTATAAATATTCTCAAGAGCTTTAAGTAAAGCTTGAAAATGATAAGAAAAGAAAAATGATACAAAGAACAACCACATAAAAATTCCAGAGATAAAAGACACGGAAAAGTCAATAGGATTAGCTGCAAACTAAAAAGTCAGAAGAAAAGATGAGTGAACTTAAGGACAGCAATAGAAATTCTAAACTTAACCACAAAGAGAAAAAGACTGGAAAATAAAAACAATAACAAAAACAGATCCTCAGTAACTTCTGTGGCAATATTAAGCAGTATGTATACTTGGAGGTTCCAGAAGTAGGAAAGAGAAAAAACACAAAAAATACCTGAAGAAATAATGACCAAAAATTTCCCCAAATTGACAAAAATGATAAACTCTCAGATCCAAGATGGTCAACGAATGCCGAGCAAGATAAACATAAATCCCATGTGAAGGTACGTCAGAACCAAACTGCTGAAAAACCAGGGATAAAATCGTAAAAGCACCTAGAGGAAAAATAT